CCCGGCGGTACCTCGTGACCCGTTAGGCGGGAGGGTCTGCCCCGGCGGAGCGGGCCCGCGGGAGGGCCGGGAGATCGGCTCTAGCAGGTATTTGCTTGCGGATTGGAGATTATATATTCTTTTTTTAATGTATATAATGTGTGCTTTTGGCCCTTGGTGTGCATGTTAGGAGAATTCCTCCATGCACCCAGCGCTGCACTAAACCAGTATCAGCTTTCTACACAATCATTTGGTTTGGAAAGTTGTCTTCGTTAGAGTTTTCAGTAACAGAAGCACAAGTTTGAGAAAGTGGAGGTGGACAGTCAAGGATATAGGGTGAAAGGTCCTGGTGTAGACTGATTAAAATCCTATGTTAGAGTTAATGCCTGGGTTACAGTGATACTCTTTAATTGAGGACCAAATGTGCTGCACTGATATTCTAAGGACCATTGATCATCCCCTTCATTGTGTAAACCCGATACTTTGTATAAACAATGCAGGTCTTGGGGACAACAATACTGTTGAAGAGGAACTAGAAGACTGGTAGATGCTGCCCTAGAAGGTGCCAAAGGCTGGATGACTGCTTTAAGAAGCATAAAGTCAGCAATAAGTGGGGGAAAGGTAAAAGCAACAGGGGGAGATGACGACCTTGAACTCAAGACTGAAGAAACCTGCCCCTCCCCACCTTTAAGGAGCACATGTGCTAATTTAGATTGCAAAGAAGGCTAATTCAAACATGATTAACCAAGAGCAGATGGAATGGTAATTACTGACCAATGAGCATAGATTCAGGCAGATTTTTACTAATCATGTAACAAGATAAATACACAATAGCTCTTGGCTGAGGTGTGCTAGCTTGGTGGAATTGCCACCTAGCAACCATCTTTGTGCAAATATGAAATAAGTAAGACCGGCTTAGTGCACACCAGGTACTGGACCTTGCTTGTGAGACAACACTGGTTTGGAGAGATGTCAATGCAAAATGGCAGGCAGGGGGAAAGGCAAGCATCAGCGACAAAACCACTGTTAAGTTCATTTGTTGAAGCCAAAGCACTTGGCCAATCTATTGGAAACATGACTTGTTTGCACTGCAACTGTAAGAGCACATGTCCATTAGCAAGAAACATAACTGGACTTAGTCAGGATATCTAATAATAACACATGTTTAACACACAGGAAAATAATGTGACCATGCTGAATTAACTAGGAAAAAAAGCATTACAAACTGCAAAAAGTTGTCATTTATTTTATTATTACCGTAACTGGTTATTCTGGGTTCCAAAAGAATAATAGAAGCAAATTTTAAAAAAAAACACACACAAACCAACAACTTAAATCTGGCTTATCAAGAATACGTAAATAATTCTCTTTTAATGTATTTTATGCCACTTTTTGTTACACTGCAGTAATTGAAGCATACCTGACAGACACTGTAGATCTCATAGCACAAACTTTTAGCATTAGGAGACAGCAGCATACCTAGACACTGCCACCTTGCTGTTCTTGATGGTTGCTTAGGAAACAGCCCTCTGTTTTTTCCTGGTACAAGTGCAGTAAGAAAAAGATCAATTGTTGTATTGAAGGGAGTGACCTTCTAAAGGGTTAGGACAGAAATTCCTCTAGTGGCTTAAACCTTCAAAAATATATTCTGCTACTTGCATTCTCAGAAACGGTTTGCTCTGTTTTAGGAGTAAATCCCAGTGTAATAATTTCGATTCTTTTTTACTTACTCATTCTCCCACAGAGGAACAGTTACTTCCTACCCCCATTTAAACCTTGTTTTTTAATCATGCAACATTTCTCTTGTTTACCATGAAGAGAATAGCATTTTATAAAAGTTAACATTTTGGTAAAACGGTCCAAGTACCTGCTTTCACTAAACGTCCTTTCCTCCTCCTCTCACTGAATTAAGTCTAATACAAGAGTAATATTAGAAAACTTTTAATTCCACTGTATTTATAAAAGTTTTCACCTTGTTATTCTTACTGTCTGGAAGAAAACATATTCCAGTTGACAAATCTGAAACAAAAGAATGTGGTGTAATCAGTATTTTATTATGTTCTTATGTTATACTACTAAATGCTAACTATTCTATAAGATAGTAGGACTAAGACTCTTGAAGGTTTTGGCATACACCATAAAAATAACCCTGAAACGTACATGTTATCACAACATCAAGGTGTACATGTACTTATAACAATGATCTAACTTATCTAGGAGTATGTAAAAAGGCAGGGAGGGCTTCATCATGGCTAGAACTGTAAAAGTTATGAAAGACAACTACTGCTTTAAGGATTTCTATAAAGCAGTGCAAAAAAGGAGTCCCAGGCTTCGCTAGTAGGAGGAACAAGTGCTGCATTCCACTGTTGCATTTCAACTACTGGGCCAACTCTTTTTTGGATCACTTGTAATCAGCTTCCACTTGTCTTTCTTTGGTATCCACCCATAATCCAATTCCAAGTCCCACAAGACAGAGAACATTATAGACATGTCCATACCGATTTTAGCAAAAAGGGTTCCTAATTCTTAAGTAACAGATGGGAATAAAAGGCAATTTGCAGACTAGAATCCTATACCTTGAATAAACAAGTTAAAACCCATTCTTGAAATACCGTCAGGCCCTAATCAAGTCCAAACACTGGGAAGTTCCAGTTTTCCAAAGCAATATGATTTTTGTTGCCATTGTTACTGCCACTTCTTCAACAGTACAATAAGAGACTGAAGTAAACCACTGTTACAAGTGTGTTTTATAAGGGCCCATTTATTACAAACCATAGCACTTCCTAATTGAACATCTTCTCTATTAATCTATTAATACCTCACAAATCTATGCAAATATTCAGATAAAGCTTGGAAAGTGGTAATGACTAGAAGTACATATGTTTACTAAGTACATTTACTAAATTTTAAGGAACGAGCAGAATTTAATCACAGGACTGGAATTAGCAAAAAAATCAATCAAGTTTACCATCAATAGCCACATTTTTAAAGTAAGTTACAGAGTATTATTTTGCTTCAACTAATCTATTCATATCTTTAAAAAACCATAGGTTTCACAGCAAGCAGCTGCAGTTAAA